GCAAACCCCACCCTCTCCCAAGGAGCACTACCAGCGTGCTTTGGCCTACCGCCTTTCACAGTAACTATTTTACGCGTGTTTCTTTATCACAGTTTATGTGACCTTCCTGGGAAAATCACAAGGCAAACAAAAACTTGAGTCATTTCTTTCACATCAGTACGGTCAGTCGAGAACACAGTGGCGTTCCCCGTTTAAAGGCTTTCCAGGAAGAGTAGCTAGGCTACAGACCCACCCACAGGAATGCAGCTTTTATCCATGACCTTTGTAGCACAGTTCTAGCAATAGGGAGGAGGAGCTGTGGTTATGCCACAGCAGAGGCATCACTACTCACCGGACAATGCAAATACAGAGACTGGTCCTGAAGCTCTTTCAATTCCAGCTTCTGTAACAGCTAGTCACGTTGCTGAGCAGTACACACGGCTTGCCTGGATATGCAAGGATCACAGAAGTGCTTCTCTCATTGCACTCTCCTTTTCTCTTGGCATATAAGGCTTGCAAACAAGCAGAGACCCTTCCACCCACACTGCTGCTCTGATTTTTAGTAGCAATCTGATCTCAAAATCTTGTCTGGTGGGCTGACATGAAAGAATTGACTGGACGGTTCATCTCGGGCTCCCTCAACCTGTGCCTTAATTTCAGTCCTGAACATATCGCCTCACAATTTCTAACATTCTTCTCTCTCCCCATCATTCTCTTTCCCGAGTTCAGTGGGGTCTGCAAACAAAATTGTACTGTGTAAACATGATTAAGTTCTTGAAACAGGTCTCTATTATTAAGATTAATGGCTATCTCAACACTTCCTTCAATGTTAGGGGTTCCAAAATAAGACGAGAGTAGGGATGTTGAGATTAACCAGTTTCACTATTAATCACGATTAGAAATGTCACAGTTTCCAAGCCGTGAGAATTTTAGAAGCTACAGGGAAAATTCTATTTTAGAAGCCTCGCGTTGCATGTTGCCCTGAAAAATTCCTCCCGCGAGGGTCACGTGTGTGCGCGGTGTGCCTGGCTTGGCCCAGCTGGCTAGTCCAACAACACCTTAGTTAGCCTACAGAGAGCAGGCGTGCTGTGAAAATGGCGGAGGGATACGACATCTCAGCTTTCGATCCAC